GGCTCACCACAGCCTCGACCTCCTGGACTCAAGTGATCCTCCTACCTCAGTCTCCCAGGTAGTTAGAATTACACACGCCACTATGCTCAGCTAATTTTTTATATTTTTTTGGCAAACAGGGTGTCACCATGTTGCCCATCCTGGTCTTCAACTTCTGGGCTCAAACAATCTACCTGCCTCAGCCTCCCAGAGTCCTAGGAGCCACCATGCCCAGCCTAAAATTTTATTTTAATAACAAGAGTTCTATGAAAATTCTGGCAGTCTTATTAGGCTAAAAGAACAATCATGTCAGAGGTTCTTTTGTTGCACTGTTTGAAAATGAACATTAAGATAAAGCAGTATTATACATGTGGTACATACCAGTTATCCTCTGTACTTTTCTCTATTTTTAAAAAATTTTAAAGACTTGAATTTCAAACACAAAGATCACCCAGCTTGGTGATCTAATGTCAAAATGCAAGAAGCAAATTATACTTCAAAAAATACTGTTCAGAAAAGTAAATTTGAAGAACTATGCCTTACCATTGTGCACATAAGTGAGTCTCCTTTCTTCTCTGGTTACGATGTTAGATATCCAAATATCATTGCTATGTATAAAAGCAATCCAGTCTGGATCGGCAGGGCATAATTTTGGATCCATCCGTATGTTGGGACAACTAGTTTCCACTAAATTGGGCCTTAAAGGTTGTTGCTAGAAAAGTAAACAACATTCTAAGGTAAATATCAGGCTGACACATACATGTTCCAGCACGCTTCCTATATGAAGAAGAATATTTCTAGGTAAAATGTCAACAATGAGGCCAGGCGTGGTGGCTCACACCTGTAATCCCAGCACTTTGGGAGGCCAATGCAGGCGGATCACCTGATGTCAGGAGTTCAAGATCAGCCTGACCAACATAGTGAAACTGCATCTCTACCAAAAATACAAAAATTAGCTGGGCGTCGTGGTGGGCACCTATAGTCCCAGCTACTTGGGAGGCTGAGGCAGGAGAATCGCTTGAACCCGGGAGGCAGCTATTGCAGTGAGCCAAGATAGTGCCACTGCACTCCAGCCTGGGTGACAGAGAGACTCAGTCTCAGGGAAAAAAAAAAAAAGTCAACAATGATCATTGCTTCCCAGAAAAATATACTTTCCATTGCCTTAACTTACCAGAAAGGACTCATTTTTTTACTTTGAATGAAAAAGCTAATTGTAATAGGAGAGGACGTAAAGACAATAAAACAGTACTTCATAAATTTTGTTGCCCCAACCTGCCCCAATATCTCTTAAGAGTATTGACTGTTCATTAAACATTGTTATTGAACACTTATTCATCAAATATTTTATTAAATATTTTAAAATTATTTTTACCAATATAAAATAGTTTGCTGATAAAAATGTAATAGAAGCCAGGATCATCACAATTCTCTCAAGAGTTCCTAAAGCTCATAATGAATTGCCTAGAATAAAACCAAACATAAGCCACTTGAGAGGCTGAGGCAAGAGGATCACTCGAGCCTAAAGTCCAAGACAAGCTGGGGCAATATAGTGGGACCCTCACCTCTAAAAAGAATTTTTTTAAATTAGTCGGGTGTGGCGGCACATATCTATAGCTACCCAGCTACTCAAGGAGGCCGAGGTGGGAGGATTGCTTGAGCCCAGGAGTTTGAGGCTGCAGTGAGCCATGATCTCGCCACTGTACTCCAGCCTGGGTGACAGAGCAAGACTCTCTCCAAAGAAAAAAAAAAAAGTGTGTGTGTATATATATAATTTATTAAGATGAATTAGCTTTCAAGGGAAACAAAAAATTGCCTTGTGATAACGATCTTCCAAAATCTCCCTCAATGCTTACACAGGAAGTGGGAACTAATGCCCTTTACCCTTCTTTTTTTTTTTCTCTCTCTCTCTTTTAGGTAGTCTCACTGTCACCCAGGATGGAGGGCAGTGGAACGATCTCGGCTCACTGCAACCTCCATCCAACTCCCGGATTCAAGCAATTCTCTTGCTTCAGCCACCCAAGTAGCTGGGACAACAGGTACGCCTGGCTAATTTTTGTATTTTTAGTAGAGACAGGGTTTCACCATGTTGGCCAGGCTGGTCTCAAACTCCTGACCTCAAGTGATCCACCCGCCTCAGCCTCCCAAAGTG